CCAAAAAGGAGTATCTATTATTGGGTTGCTGTAATTGGTGTACTCTAAACTTCGTAAGCTATAACTGTGATTAACGCTTATTAATCGGGAAACTTCAGATATATGACCAGGAACATTTATAAATTTCGAACATTACAAACCACTTAACTTCAGTGGATTCACACCCGACGTTAATACTGTTACGTCTCCGTTTGTTAATTAATTTTTCGTTAACTTCGTTCTAACGAAACTTTAACGACACAAGTCTTTACTTAATAAAACTGGTTTATTCTTTCCGAATATAACTCTGCGATACACTTAATCTCAATACTCGCGCTAAAACAAACACTATAACGAACGAACGTTAACTTCAACAATACCCTGTGACTGCAGTTCAATTACTCACTATCTACACACACATTACATTATCCTGTCACGTTGTCACCCTCTTTTATATACCCGACTACCCTATATCTAGTAAATACTAGAGCATTCGCCAAAGTACAGGATAGTTCTAGAAACGTGGCGTCACAGTAGTCATGTGACTCGCTGACGCAACAATACTTTTACGAAGATATTATATGACTTTAGCGGTAAAAGAAACTTGACCTGTAATCGGCGTGTGATCAGCGAGAACTACAGAGATAGCTAGCTGCCTATTAAGTGAATTGTATCTACATCAACTCGAAATTAACTCGCTCATCGTGAAGCCTCGATAAGACATCAAGGTAGTTTCAGACTAGAAAGAAGAATTTGTATTGCTTGTAAGTTTGTAAAACTTTTGTATATAAAAAAAGAAAACCGTGTCTATCAATCTTGTTGGCAAATATCATAAATTGGAGATAAAGGGCATTTTTTTAACTATTAAATTTAAATTGTCATTTAGCTCGGTTTCAGACCATTCGAAATTGTAATAAGTAACAACCTTCCAAGTTATTTTATTTCCTCAACGTTTATTCTTCTTTATCAGGAGCATACAATTTCTGTAATAAACTGTTAATATTCTGTTTCTAAGAATTAAACCACACGCAAGAGTATATCATGCATGTTATCATTCCTCTTATTACAAAGCCCAT